CCCCAAAACCCCAAAACCCCAAAACCCCAAAACCCCTTTTAGCTACAATGTAGTTGAAATTGCAACTATAGAACTTTTGTCTAGAACCTCAGTTTTCCAAAGCTCTTATGGCTAACTACATAATGGAAAGATTGCTTCAAGCCTAAAGTATAATTCTAGCTACTAAATTTAGACATCATGAGGTCTCAGAGTTTTGCTAAGGTAAATTTTGACGAATAGAAATTAGAAATGCACTATGCTGATGTAGATGCTCCATCATGGCTCTCTCTGGAATCGATTACTGATTGGAGAAGATCTTCAAATGCTTCGTTGATATTACTTCAATCAAGAGCACTTGCTTCATAAAAAGGTATCCCGTGAGAATCAGCAAATGCCTGACCATCTTCGGCTCATACAGTTTTGAGATTGTGTAGGTCAGACTTGTTGCCAACCAATACGATATTTGTTTCTGGAAGGTGTTCCTTGATGGTGTCCATCCATCCTGAGAGACTCTCAAATGAATGTTGTTTAGTGACGTCATACACAAGCATGATTCCATGGCATCCCTTGAAGTATAGGTGTAAGCTATGGGGTTCTTCTTGTCACTCAGTGTCCCAGATATGGAACTTAACCTCCTCTTCTTCCTTGGAGCAGCTATAATGTCAGCATTCTGAATTTACCTTCTTCTTAGCTCTGAAGACCTGTCTGGCTTGATCTTCATATCAGTGTAAATGTTAATCATTGGGCTGGAGGAGCTCTCTAGGCTGAACTCATTCTGAGTGAATCTAGTGACTATGTTGGATTTTCCTACTCTTTTATCACCAACAACAATAATTTTGAATGCATTGGACTTTGTTTTGGAGAAATTCTTCATTATCTATATGAACTGTTAAAACTAAGATTGCATCCTAAAGTTTCCTGATAACCCTGTGAAGTTACAATGTCAATAACTGAATATAGTAAGTGCTCCTTTGGCGAGAGAAGGGATCTGTTAGTAACCATGTTAAAAGATCAGTAAAATTGGTGACCATGTAACTTTTGCTCAGTCAAAATCTCTCTAAGTTATTAAAACATTTAGATCATTGACAAAAATTCTATAAAACTTCGTATCCTTAGTGAAGTTAGCCTTCAGATACCCAAGAACATTCAAATTAGCTGATATCCATTATTAGGTTAGCATTATTCTCCCTTTTTGGCTAAATCAAGCTCTAATATTGCGTTCAAAATAAACTCAAAATTTCTGAGTGAAAACAAAATTCAGGAAATTTAAAACTCTTTAGATGGTTGATACTATCAGCTTGAATGAGATACGAAGGAGAGTACAAGATTAATAGAATTAATACTGAATTTATCAAGACCCATCAAAAATAAAGAGCTCACCAGCATAAGATATTTACAAGTCTTTTGGAATTATGAGCAAAGTAGCAGCAAGTTATTGGCGGAGCCAATAACTTTCTTGCTCTAACTAATCAAAATATGTAGAAATATTTGAATATGCTATGCCAAAAGCTAGATCCATGTTCTCCTGATCTATCGTTGCTTCAAATGTCTTAGATTCTTCATAAAGCCTAATCTTTGCATAATCCCTGAGATTTTCTGATCATAATGACTTTAGGCGAACTTACCTTTTGAATATTAAATATTATTTATGAAGAGAAATTTAGGGGTTTTGGGGTTTTGGGGTTTTGGGGTTTTGGGGTTTTGGGG